TGTGGTGTGGCTATTAGCCTATTATACTGCAGGCCTATAATATGAAGGCAGTGTGCACCGACAATCCAACTGACTCCGACAGTTGAACTTGAGGTGAGGATGAATGTTTTAGGCCTACCAGAGTTACTCCTATAATCTACAGTACCAGTCAAAAGTTTGGACACACCTACTCATTCAAGGGGTTTTCTTTATTTTTACTATTTTCTACATTGTAGTATAATAGTGAAGACATCAAAAGGTTCAAAGTTAATTTGTGGAATTTCTTTCCTTCTTAATGCGTTTGAGCCAATCAGTTGTGTTGTGATAAGGTAGGGGTGGTATACAGAAGATAGCCCTATTTGGTAAAAGACCAAGTCCATATTATGGCAAGAACAGCTCAAATAAGCGAAGAGAAACGACAGTCCATCATTACTTTAAGACATGAAGGTCAGTCAATCCGGAAAATTTCAAGAACTTTAAAGTTTCTTCAAGTGCAGTCATAAAAACCATCAAGCGCTATGATGAAACTGGCTCTCATGAGGACCGCCACAGGAAAGGAAGACCCAGAGTTACAGTGGGGAAAACAAGTATTTGATACACTGCCGATTTTGCAGGTTTTCCTACTTACAAAGCATGTAGAGGTCTGTAATTTTTATCATAGGTACACTTCAACTGTGAGAGATGGAATCTAAAACAAAAATCCAGAAAATCACATTGTATGATTTTTAAGTAATTAATTTGCATTTTATTGCATGATTTGATCACCTACCAACCAGTAAGAATTCCGGCTCTCACAGACCTGTTAGTTTTTCTTTAAGAAGCCCTCCTGTTCTCCACTCATTACCTGTATTAACTGCACCTGTTTGAACTCGTTACCTGTATAAAAGACACCTGTCCACACACTCAATCAAACAGACTTCAACCTCTCCACAATGGCCAAGACCAGAGAGCTGTGTAAGGACATCAGGGATAAAATTGTAGACCTGCACAAGGCTGGAATGGGCTACAAAAAAATAAAGAATGTATCTTCTTCTGTACGCCTATATCTTTATAGCAGACAGCAGTAGCCTATCTGACAACGATAAATAAATGCATGTTGGTGTCGTAGCATGCCGCCAGCATATCTCTCTCTTTCTCTGGGGCTAGGCCTAAGCTTCTCTTCCTTTATATTTTAAATATTAATATCATACAGTGGAAGGCCTAAAGGCCTCTATGCATGCAATGCCCTGATGCATTTAGCACTCAAATCTCAGACAGCTGAGGTGGACAATTATTGTTTTTAGGAAAGTAAAAACCAATAAAACAATAGGCTATAATGTTTTGCATATGCTACACATCGAAACACTACAAATAGTATTTTAGTAATTTGTTATAAGCAGTTTTTAAGGACATGTAAATGTGGCTCATATGGCCAATATCCCACATTTATTGACGGCACTGGCTGCGTGGGTGGACGGCCTAATGGGTTACGCACCCAATGTATAGTATATGGATGACCGGTAGATTTCTCAAATGTCAGATAAATTTAAATATTCCCAGTCACATGTCCGGTGCCACATTTTCCTAATGGAAAGCCTGATATATATATATATATATATATATATATATATATATATATATATATATATATATACAGTGCCTTCGGAAAGTATTCAGACCCCTTGACTTTTTCCACATTTTGTTACGTTACAGCCTCATTCTAAAATGGATTAAAAAAAGTTTTTCCCTCATCAATCTACACACAATACCGCATAATGACAAAGCGAAAACAAGTTTTTAGACATTTTTGCAAATGTATACAACATAGAAAATAAGAAATACCTTATTTACATAAGTATTCAGACCCTTTGCTATAAGACTCGAAATTGAGCTCAGTTGCATCCTGTTTCCATTGATCATCCTTGAGATGTTTCTACAACTTGATTGGAGTCCACCTGTGGTAAATTCAATTGATTGGATTGGACATAATTTGGAAAGGCACACACCTGTCTATATAAGGTCCCACAGTTGACAGTGCATGTCAGAGCAAAAACTAAGCCATGAGGTCGAAGGAATTGTCCGTAGAGCTCCGAGACAGGATTGTGTCAAGGCACAGATCTGGGGAAGGGAACCAAAAAATGTCTGCAGCATTGAAGGTCCCCAAGAACACAATGGCCTTCATCATTCTGAAATGGAAGATGTTTGGAACCACCAAGACGCTTCCTAGAGCTGGCCGCCCGGCCAAACTGAGAAACTGGGGGAGAAGGGCCTTGGTCAGGGAGGTGACCAAAAACCTGATGGTCACTCTGACACAGCTCTAGAGTTCCTCTGTGGAGATGGGAGAAACTTCCAGAAGGACAACCATCTCAGCAGCACTCCACCAATCAGGCCTTTATGGTAGAGTGGCCAGACGGAAGCCACTCTTCATTAAAAGGCACATGACAGCCCGCTTGGAGTTTGCCAAAAGGCACCTAAAGACTCTCAGACCATGAGAAACAAGATTCTCTGGTCTGATGAAACCAAGATTGAACTCTTTGGCCTGAACGCCAAGCATCACGTCTGGAGGAAAGCTGGCACCATCCCTACGGTGAAGCATGGTGGTGTTTGCTAATCCAAGTTTATCATTTTAAAAGGCTAATTGATCATTAGAAAACCCTTTTGCAATTTTGTTAGCACAGCTGAAAACAGTTGTGCTGATTAAAGAAGCAATAAAACTGGCCTTCTTGAGACTAGTTGAGTATCTGGAGCATCAGCAATTGTGGGTTCGATTACAGGCTTAAAATGGCCAGAAACAAAGAACTTTCTTCTGAAACTCATCAGTCTATTCTTGTTCTGAGAAATGAAGGCTATTCCATGCGAGAAATTGCCAAGAAACTGAGTTGCAAAGAAAAAGCCATATCTCAGACTGCCCATCTCAGACTGCTGTGCTAACATAATTGGAAAAGGGTTTTCTAATGATCAATTAGCCTTTCAAATGATAAACTTGGATTAGCAAATACAACGTGCCATTGGAACACAGGACTGATGGTTGCTGATAATGGGCCTCTGTACGCCTATGTAGATATTACAGAAGAAATCAGCCGTTTCCAGCTACAATAGCCATTTACAACATTAACAATGTCTACACTGTATTTCTGATTTACATTTGACATTTTAGTCATTTTAGCAGACGTTCTTATCCAGAGCGACTTACAGTTAGTGAGTGCATAACATTTTTTTTTTCATACTGGTCCCCCGTGGGAAACTAACCCACAACCCTGGCGTTGCAAACACCATGCTCTACCAACTGAGCTACACGGGATTTTATGTTATTTTAATGGACAAAAAAATTGCTTTTCTTTCGAAAACAAGGACATTTCTAAGTGACCCCAAACTTTTGAACGGTAGTGTATATATATATATATATATATATATATATATATATATATATACACTGTGTGTACAGTGACACTGACTCACCCAATGCTGAAGATGAAGCATAGGCTACTCACTGGTGATAAGCTACTTTGGCAAACAATCCCTCAAATGTTGTTGATAAATCAATCGTTAGCTTCTACAGTAGGCATTTGCTTTCCAAACGGTAGGCCTACATCTTTCTCACAATTGTATTTTGATATTTGTGAAAGGCAAACTGACAGCCGCAACCAACCATAGAAATATAATCCATAGATAGCTGTTCCCATTCAAGTCAGGACTGGCAGCCATTGCTAGTGTACCCATGAGTTTAACAGTCAAAGTGCCAGGGTTAGAGGTTCCAAAAGCCTTCTATGGGTGATATCTATGGCCACAATGCAACAAGCTGTTCTATATTTGGCACGTGTGCTGCCCAAATTGCGGCTTGTGATAAAACTTTAATCCACAGCTCTTTTTTAGAAGCTATTGATCCTCTGTAGCTAAATTATGCTCTCTGGTGTAGTTTTTTGAATTATTTGATTTATGTCTGTTCAGACAGGAGTAATATAATTTTGGGGGAAAATATTTTGTATAGCCCAATTATGGCAAAATTATTTCAATTTCTATGGATGGATAAGGACATGCTCTAGGAGTAAAGGAAGTGTGCTGTATAGTGGACTAGTGAACCTGATGAACCGTCTCCCAAGCAGTGTCCTTATCCTCATCAGCCTGTGTAATTGCACACTTCCCCACAGCTGTAATGCGACAATTGTAGGGCTGCCTGCTCAGCTGCCAGATCTTGGAAGCCCAAACCGACGGCCCTGTTAACAGAAGGCCAACCTACACAGTCTCAGCTCCCTAACCTAATTAACACTGAGTCACACTACACGCCACCCCACCCCACGCCACGCAGGGCGGCCAGGCCGCAGCAATGCAGCAGGCCATTGTGTGTGGGGAGGCCAGGGCACTGGACAATAGGAATAGTGGGAGCTACGATGGCACACAGGGTGACACACAGGGCCATGTCAGAACCATGATGGGATGACACCACTCTCAGTATGATGTCATCTCTCACTGTAGAGAACCCTGTGCTCTCAGAGCCATATTGTTTATGGCTCTGCAGTCTGCACACTTCCATTTACTGGAATCAGATTGAGGTTTAGATTGTTATTGGTTACAGACATTAAATTGGTCTCTTATTTATAGAATGCCAATCGGTAAAAACAGGTAGTTCAACAGAACAACAAAGTACAGAGACAGACATACAATAATTTATGTATAACCTAATAGAGTCAGTTTTGAGAATTCCCTTTGCTGTTGGAGAAGGTTGATAAAGTTATGTATGGGTGGGTTCATTGAGTGCATACTTGAATGTGTAGTAGTAGTAGACCACTAATGAATTTGTCTACATTGTATGTTGGCATGCATTTCATCCCGTGTATGCGATGATGTTTAAACCAAAACCAATAGCAAGGAAAGAGTGTCCCATGCAGCATAAGTTAAACCACCAAAAGCACTTGAACATTCACACACCAGCTGACAGCTGCGCTTTTCTTAGCCAATTGCAGCGCCGCGCTCGCATACATACTCCAACGCACACAACACTGTTGGGCCCTCAAATATCTTCCCCACAACAAGCCTGACTCTTCATGGGGTGAATAGCGTGTGCAGGAAGCCCTGCGTGCGCTACATATGACAAACCACATTACTGCCTGGGTAGCAGACAGCCCAAGCTAGGCCACCCCAAGGCCCCCAGCCAGAGAGCAACACTGCAGCTGAGTTACCGTGCTTACTCAGATAGTCATAATTGGATAATGAACATATAAATAGTGTTTTCATGTGATCCACTGTAGGTTGGGCGTTGGGGTAAACAACACAGTGGGCTGGGTAAACATACCGTACCTGGCTGCCTTGCTACCTGGCTGCCTGGCTACCTGGCTGCCTGGCTGCCTTGCTGCCTGGCTACCTGGGTACCTGGCTACCTTTGTTTTAGCCTGGAGGAAAGTATGTCCATGACACAAGGAGCCTTATTAGCTACGTTTCCTGCATTGCATAGTCCGTTTATTTGGATGTTTTCACATGTTTTGGTCAGATATTTTGTCAGACATGGTTCATAATGCTGCATCTCTAGGTTTTAACTTTCACTCCTCATTAGTCCTACCCTGTCTCTGAGCACATCATTATGTCTGGAGGAATCCCTCCTGGCCTGTTCACCTATATGGAAGAGAAGGAGCCAGGTACTATAACCATGTTGTAACTGCTGCTGCCCTACATACAGCATGTCGACATGAAAACTGTGTAAGAGGACAACTGGACATGGCTCTGTCATGTCAGCTCAACATATAGTAGATGACTATTAACAATGACAATGTCCCCATCTTCTCCATGTCTAGGTGATTCAAGCTTGGTCTGCAGTGACATCCATCCCCTTCACCCTATTGGTCTTCTATACCATGAGCTCTGGCTCTGCCCAGGATGTGGCGGTGGAGCATTTCTTGCGTGACATAGAGAGGAGGGGCAAGCGGCTACATTGCGCTGTGATTGGCTGCGAGGAGGAGCAGTGTCCCCGCGGCGACATGAACCTGCTGTATCGTAAGAGCCGACTGGACTGGAGGCACAAGGACCAGGAGGGCAATAAGAAGAGGTGAGGAGAGGTGAACTGAAGAGATGGAATTAGATTATTCAGTTCAGTTCAATTGTAAATCTCTGAACTGATGTGGAAGAGTTTTATTGTTCATATTTTATGTGTAACCTCTTAATTGTCATCCTAAGGGGAGTGGGGGCATGTAGAAAGGAAGTAGAGAAACAAGAGATGAGAGGAACAGAAGATGGGAAGAGAGGAGCTTTATGGCCTTTATTATAGGGACAATGTGGCCCATTGGTGTCTATGTAGATTATGGCAAGCACAAACACTTCCACACCCGCAGGCGCACACACACATATACCCACAGGCACACTTAAAGACACACACACACACACACACACACACACACAGCTCTGCTCTTGGCTTTTCTTCACATAATGCAATGAGACAGAAAACAGTTGCATCTCTGTTCTCCATGATGAACATGCTCAGTGCAGTTTCCGCTGCCTGCGCTAGCTTCCCTCCTCTCAATAGGAAGGTGCACGCTCACATTGTGACCTAAAAACAAGGCCTACATTTGGGTGTGTAGTTTGTTACGTTTTATTGCTCTTGCTTCCTCTACCTCAAACAAACAAGGCAACATGCACTCAGGGATCGCTCACATGCAATAACCTCCTAAATGAGGCCTTTGATTGCATGCTCGGAAGCACAACATCTCCTCCTCCTCTCCTCACACACGTAGAGACCCAGTTACCCAGGCTCTCTCTCTCTCTCTCTCTCTCTCTCTCTCTCTCTCTCTCTCTCTCTCTCTCTCTCTCTCTCTCTCTCTCTCTCACACACACACACACACACCAGACACACACACAGATGTGTGCACCCACACACTCAGCTCCCACTCGTTCCCAGCAGGGAAACAAAAAGGCGGTCGTTGCCTCCAGATCCATTCCTCCGGTCCTGCTAGAGAAGTCAGATCCCACCCCTTCATCCCCTCTTTCCTTCCTCACCTCTCCTCTCCACAGTGGAACAGGATCAATAGATACCTCATGTGTAATAGGAATCAGAGAAACAGGTTGAAAAGGTCACGAGCCATAGCTGACACTCGTCTTTTTATGTACTGTGCCAGACAGCCAATCATTTCCTTCTAGATGGTTGTAGCAGTATCATTTCAGCTCTTTTCATGGTAATAGTTATGCACAGTGTTTTTCTACAGACTATAGCCACTGTTGTTACGGCTGAGTCACCTTTATAAAGGTTCATTTACAGAGCTATACTGTATATTCTATATGTAATAACTCCAGATTTGGACCATGTCAGCTGCAGCTCCCCATCCCATGTTATTGCTCATCAAGGTACACTGTTGTATGGATCCTGCTCCAATTGAATCAATCAGTAGCTTTATTGGTGAGATATTGATTTTGGTTTCACTTATTAGGAAACCAAAGATGTTCTGAATCTGTGGCGTTCATGCATGATGGTAGTTTGGATGCGGTCATGATGACCTTCAAAAGACCTTCAGGGATTATCCATATCAAGTTTTTGAAAGTAAAGTTGGCTTTAGAGAGCAAATAAGCAAATGGGGGCGGCAGGTAGCTTAGTGGTTAAGAGCGTTGTGCCAGTAACCGAAAGGTCGCTGGTTCTAATCCCCGAGCCGACTAGGTGAAAAAATCTGTCGATGTGCCCTTGAGCAAGGCACTTAACCCTAATTGCTCCTGTAAGTCGCTCTGGATAAGAGCGTCTGCTAAAAAAAGTAAAATAAGAATTGAGTCATCTGTTTAATCAAAGGAACAGTACAGTACTTTATACATTCAACTCCGATATATTTACTTTCATCGAAGAAAACTCCAGTTGGAATTTTTATGCTGCACTGCCACACCTTTTTTCAGGCAATAAATAGCCAAAGAAATTGCAGTTCTTTTGTGTGCTTGTTTGCAGTATGTTTAGTACTGTACATTGGCAAGCAATACCATGTGCAATTTCATGGGTTTTAAGACAAACCACTAAACCAATAAACAGGCAAGTCAGTTGCCATGGAAACAGATCAAATGCTTGGCAGAGGTCATGATGAGTGTAGTGTAGAGACAAGGTAATAAAACAGATAAAGAATGAGTTAGAGAAACCCAGTGACACAGTGACGTACATACAGGGAGATTATAGTCAGAGAGGAGTAGCTAGATTTTGGGGAGTTCGATTTTAGGGGAAGTAATTTCCTTATTGAATGTGTTTGTGAGCTAGGGGAGCAGATGTGGAGGGGTGGAAATGGAAGAGTCCCTCCTCCACACACAATACTGGCACGCACAGCTGCTGCACTGCCTCACCCAATCTCTCATCACTCACTCTCCAATGGGAAACTACGCTCCTTGTGCCATCCATGCATGAGCAGCAGTGTGTGTGTGTGAGTGTGTGAGTGACAGACAGACAGAGGAAGAGGAGTAGAGGACTGAAGCTATTTAAATAATGTTTTTGAAGAGAAAAAGAAAAAGGGAGCAAGGAAGTAAAGGGGAGGGGCAACACAATGGGGAAATAAATGAAGGTCCTTCACTGAGACGTGATTAAGTGCTGAATGAGGGAATGCTGTTCTTCCTGTGTTTTCCAGCTCCAGCCAGAAGGACCCCTCCTCAGCCACGGTGGGCAAGGTCCGTGACCTGGCGTCCTTCCGACGCCACTTCCGCATGGGCTTCATGACCATGCCTGCCTCCCAGGATCTGTCCCCTCACTCCTGTGCCTCTGCTATGGCCCCCCGCTCCCAGTCCTGCCACGCCGTGGGCGCTAGAGACACAGGTCTGGAGAACGGGGAGGATTACTCTGACACCCAGTCACAGCACGGCGGCCGCTGCCCCCCTACCAAACCCAAACGACACCCCAGCACCCGCCTCAGCTCCTCCTCCTCAGACCCCAGAGCACCTCACGCCCTCCCGGACACCCCTCCGCCGCCCCTGCCCAATCACTCGCAGGCCAAACACTCAGAGAAGAAGAATGGTAGGCTATGGCAACAGTTATGAGGGCAGTGAAGTGGGGAAATTTGGAAATGTGGGTTATTATTATTGTCCCTGTTGTGATGATTGAAATATCTCTAGTTCATTGCTCTGTCTCTTTCCCCTGCAGCAATGAAGAAGTCGGACTCAGGGGACATGTCCAAGAAGGTGCCGCCTCTGAAGCCCAAACGAAGTCCCAGCACTCAGCTATCGTTTGACCCCCCACCACCCCGCGTGCCCCCTCCTGCCACGCCTCTGCCCTTCCAGGGGGGTGAGGGTCAGCCCCAGGGGGAGGAGGGGGACGATGAGCCTGTCTACATAGAGATGGTGGGACAGGTGTTCACCAGGGAGAGCCAGACTGCCACCCCTCATCCTGTCACTCCTGTCGCCACCACGCCTGACTCAGACTCAGACCAGAGCGAGGCCATCTATGAGGAGATGAAGTACCCGCTGCCAGAGGACAGAGAGGGACACAAACGCCTCCCTCTCAAACACGAGAGACTCAAATCCTCCAAACACCACCACTCCTCCTCTGGCATCTCTGCCCCTCTACCTCGCCCCTCCTCCTCCTCCCCCTCCTGTTCCAAACCTAAAGCCACAGTGTCCATCTCCCACTCCTCGCCCCTCCCCTCCTCCACCTCCTCTACCCCTGTTCCCCAGCCACTCTCCTCCAGCCCACAACCCCCACGAGCCCCTACCCCCTATCTCCTCCAGGGGAACAAATCAGAGACAGAGTCCAACAGTAAGATCCCGGCCCCCTTCCCCAACCTGCTGCAGCACCGGCCTCCGCTGCTCGCCTTCCCCCAGCCAGCTGCTGCCTCTAGCGGGGTTGGGGTCCAACACAAAGCTGCTGCTGCCAAACTGGGAACCATCAGCATCCAGACCTCCTCCAGTATGACAACTCCATCCAGCACCTCCTCCGCCACTACCACCCCCTCCTCCAACCTCCCCATGCCCCTGTCAGGCTGTAAGGAGTCTAAGGAGAGAGACAAGCAGAGCAGAGACAGAGACAGAGACAGAGACAGAGACAGAGACAGCCAGCTTGACCCTGCACCGGGGCTAAGGGCCAGGAGCCACTCCACACCACTGCCCCCTTCCTCCAAGTCCACCTCCCCCTACTCCCACCAGCACCACCACCCCCACCACCGCCCCTCACACTACCACCACTACCGCAAGCCAGATAGAGGAGACTCGCCCAACCCCAACACCAACAACAAGAATGGCTCAGAAACCTCCTCCAAGTCCACTGCCCAGACCCAGACCCAGGGCTCTGGCAAGGAGGGCAAGTCTGTGAGCTTCTGCTTGAAGTCAGACAAAGGAGACAGGGAAAGGGACAGAGAGAGGGACAGGGACAGAGAGAGGGAAAGAGATGGTCACAGGGACAATCACAGAGACAGAGAAAGAGACAGAGACAGGGACAGTGACAGAGAGAGACACAGGGAGAGAGACAGAGAGCGAGACCGTGACAGGGACAGAGAAACAGGGTCCCACTCTACCTCCTCTCAGGCTGAGAGCACTCCCATCACCAACAGCCATTCATCCCAGACCAGCACCAGTTCAACCCCAATCCAGTCCTCCTCCACCTCCTCTCACTCTCGCCCTCACTCTCGCCCCCACCTCCAACGCTCCCACACCCCTCATGGCCTGCCTGCCTACAAGCCCCCCTCCTCAGACAGCCCCCTGCTCTGGACCTACCCCTCAGTGGACTTCCGGAGACCCCCGGCGTACGACAGCCTGCGAGGAGGGTCTCATCTGCCCTCCTTGCACCACCAGGGTCACAGTGATGTGGCCTCCAAAAGCAGCACGGTGCCTGGGCCCGTCCAGGGGAAGGCTGCGTTCATGCCCTGGGACAGCAGTGGCTTTGGAGACGACGGGTCCTACTGGCCCATGCAGAGGAAACTCTCCTTCAGCCACGGCAGCCGAGAGACAGCGAGAGAAAGTAAGTTAACATGTGCTGGGGGGCATCATGGGTTAGAATTGAATATTGAATTTTATCAGAAGTTCCTCTCATCCCTTAGAGGGATAATCAGACTATTAGACTGTAAGTTAAGTGTAATCTGTTACTATACAGTCAATAGACAAACATTGTATGTTTACTCAACAATTCCCTTCTGTCATTCCCCTCTCAAGAGGATGAAGGGCGTGCATGGAATGGCAGTGCCGATGCCCTCCTGAGGGTGGACAAGGAGGAGCTGGTCCCAGGGCATCGAGGAGGAGGTGGAGGAGGAGGAGGCCACTCTGGGATCCCAGTACGCTTCACTGGAGGGAGGGGGCTGGGCCACAGTGAGTCCCTGGCCGGGATGGAGGGGGGGTCCTTGGGGTTCCGAGCCTTGCCTAGAGGGGGTCTCCCTCTCCCCTGCCAAACTTTCCCAGCCTATCGCAATGGAGGTAAGCACTAAGACACCTAGCACAGATTCCTTCTAGCAGAATCTTTCTAAGGGAAAGTGCTCTAAAGTATGTCAATGATTTCACTTGCACACAAAAAGCGCGTTAGAAAAGAGACCACATCAGCAGATTTATCTGAAGATCCTATTACCTGGATTTCTTAAATCCACACTCACATCATCATTGTGTTATGGTTTAAGATCATCAGTGGCAGCATAGGGGAAAGGATGGTATGCAGTACTAGAGCTATATATACACACATATACACATACTTATGCACATAATACCTCCCCCACATGTACCAACGGTTGTACATATACACATGTAAGAATGCAATGCATTCGATATGCACAGCTGTTCTCCCTGACAACATGAACTGCACAATAACCATAATTGATTTGTGGTTATAGACAGGTGTATGAACAGTGCTTGTTTTTTTCTGTGTTCCAGAACTGGGTCGATTCGGCCGCTCATCATCCACCTCTGGGGTGAAGCAGGTGAGTGGATGCGACGTTCAGAGGCAGAGCAGCCTGCCTCATCGAGAGGCACTGAGTCAGGTGAATAATACCTATTATTATAATGACGATGATCTTTGGTATTACTGTGATTACTATCATTTGTACAAGTAGTAGTATTGGAATTATTATGAAGAATATGGCCATTGTTATTTTTCCCTGTGCTGATAGCAACAACCCTCCTCCTGAGCTATTTATAGTGTGGAGATATGTTCAGTGAGCAGAATAAGGTTGTGGCCAGCAGCCTTAAATAATAAGTCCAGGGGAGAGCGATGCTCTAACTGACGTATGCGGAGATGCAGAGATGTAAGGAGTATTCTTCTCTACAGTGTTTTGGAGCAGTGAGCCGCTGTCCAATAGCGTTGCGTTTTGCCCAGTCACTTGGCTGCACCTCAAATGCTGACGCAGTTCAAGTGTGCTGTGCTGTGCTGCAGAGACTGTCTGCGTGTGCTGCCTGACCCTCCTTCGCACACAATGGGGAGCAACATGCTCGAATATGGTGTCACACTCCATCTAGTGGCAGGCTATGGTGCAACATATTCTTATTGACGATGTAGTGGTTGCTGGGCTTGGTCTTCAATGCTCAAGTAAAATGAAATTATATTTGTAGAAAAAAACAGGTGTAGACTAACAGTGAAATGCTTATTTACGGGTCCTTTTCCAACAATGCAGAGTTAAAGATAAAGATAAAATAAAAAATAGAAATAGTGACACAAGGAATAAATACACAGTGAATAACGAATAACAATAATGAGTAAAAATAACATGGCTATATACAGGGAGTACCAGTATCAAGTCGGTGTGCAGGGGTATAAGGTAATTGAGGTAGCTACAGTATGTACATATAGGTAAAGGTCAAGTGACTAGGCAACAGGATAGATAATAGACAGTAGCAGCAGCGTACACTACCGGTCAAAGGTTTTAGAACACCTACTCATTCAAGGGTTTTTCTTTATTTTTACTATTTTTACTATCATCAAGGCAAAGGGTGGCTGTTTGAATATATTTTGATTTGTTTAACACTTTTTTGGGTTACTACATGATTCCATATGTGTCATTTCATAGTTTTGATGTCTTCACTATTATTCTACAATGTAGAAAATAGTAAAAATAAAGAAAAACCCTTGAATGAGTAGGTGTTCTAAAACATTTGACCGGTAGTGTATGTGGTGAGTGTGAAAGTGTGTAGGTGTGTGTGAGTGTGGCATCAGTATGCATGTGTGCGCATGTTATGTGTGTGTGGGCGTATGTGTGTATTGGGGTGTCAGTGTAAGTATGTGTGAGTGTGTGGGTAGAGTCCAGTGTGTGTGCATAGAGTCAGTGCAAGAGAGTTAGTGCAAAAAAGGGTCAATGCAGGTAGTCCGGGTAGCAATTTGATGAGCTATTTAGCAGTCTTATTTAGCACTCTTATGGCTTGGGGGTAGGAGCTGTTCAGGGATTCAGTGCTACAACAAGGATTCAGTGTTTACAGGGATACAACATGGATGCAGTATTCATGCATACCCCAGGTTAAATTTAACGTAATGTACTGATACAAATCCCCAAATCATGCATCTTCCTTTAACTCCCCTCCTTTCTCCCTCTCTGTCCCTCTCTCTGTCCAGTTGCATGGGCTTTCCCACTCCTCCCAGACACCCTGCAGTCCTAGTCTGTCTAGACAGCAGCAGCAGCTCCAGCTACATCAGCAGCAGCTGCAGTTACAGCAACAGCTCCAGCAGCTGCAGCAGCAGCACCACCTCCAGCTGCAGTTCCAGCACCTGGCCCAGCTAGCCCAGGGACAGCCTCCCACCACTGGGGGTGCCGCCGCATCCGCAGCCCAGACCCAGAGGGATGGCAAGCTGCTGGAGGTCATCGAGAGGAAGCGCTGCCTATGCAAAGAGATCAAGGCCCACCGGCGCCCGGACAAGAGCCTGTGTAAGCAGGACAGTATGCCCATCCTGCCCAGCTGGAGACGGACCCCTGAACCCCGCAAGACTGGTACGCCCCCCTGCCAGAGGCCCCAGGCCGTGGTGTGGGACACTGCCATCTGAGGGGGCCGTGGTGGGGCAGCAGAGGTACAGTAGAAAGATAGGGGCAAGTACTATGTACTAAATAAGTACTATTGGGCACTATTGTGGTGAGACACAAGAAGTTTACAAGTGGAGAGAGATGGTGGGAATCACTCTCTACAAAGGGAAAAAGGATGGAGAACTGTTTTCTCTCTTAGGAGTGACAGTGTGATCACCGCTGACCACAGAAGAGAGAGAATATGCATGAGAGTAAGATGAGAGTTTTGTGCTCTCACATGGTAAGATAAACTTTATGTGGAGCTGATACAAGGTCTTCAAGGTTACTGAGATGTTTAGAGGTGTGTGGGCCAGAGAGATAAGGAACAACTGAAACATAAATGTTATTTTGCCAAGAGGGATTTAAAGTATGACTTTGTAGAGATGGAAAAAATGGGGAAGATTCAGTTGAGGGATATACCAATCAAACATGAAACCAAGAAGAGACATACGTACAATCCGTCAGTACTGTGTGATATTTTACACTTTAAATGTGATTTCTTACACTTTAAATGTAGTATTCTAAAAGCCCTTCCTTGACTCTTTATTAATATCTTAAACCCCAGTCGACTCAGCATTCGTTGAGACAAAATAAAAAAGGGGAGGATTTATACTATAAGAGCAACACTGGTTTAACTAATTTGGCCTAATTTCCCCAAGTTTAAAGCTTAAAGTAACGGCAGCCAAGCATCGATGATCATGTCACCCGAATAAGGCCATTGATATTTATTGGAAAGGGCCATCAAGCTCATCACCTTGCACGTTCACCACCCTGTGAAGTTTTTTCATCTGTAGCCTAATAAACTGCATGCTTTCCCGACGAGTCGTAGTGTGAGGACCACACAACATGTCATCGCGTGACTTCAAGTTTACTTCGATATGATGGTTATTATATCAATATTTGCGCATAAAAGCGTTTCCACCGACATTAATTTTACAGACACAAAAAGATCCCACCTTGTCTAGCATATTTTGTTTTGTCGACATTTGGAAAGTTTACCGAGACATTTTCTGATTCCATCAGGCCTGTCATGAGATTTTTTGTACTTTACTCGCATGAAAAGGTTGGATGGAAACCTGGTTACAGACACTTAAAACACACACACTTATACTCTCTAGCCTTTCATAAAAATGAGATGGGATAAGGGATTCTTACTATTATAGAAACATTGAAACATGTTAAGGGATTCTTACTATTATAGAAACATTGAAACATGTTGAGTGCATATGAGATGGTTTGGTTTGCCTTGATGTCTGGGTATAAGTAGATTGTTGTTGTGGAGATGAAGTAATCATGATTGAGGAGGGAAATACCACCTAACTGTTTTTATATTTGTAATGTAAATATACAGACTTTCTCAAAGTTTCTGAAATTTTATAGCAATATGTTCCCAATGTGGGAGTAACAATGTTAAAACGTGTCAGCCGGCCAAAACATATCTCAGACTTGAACTCAAAGTCACAGTTAACGTGTCATATCCTGCATGTCATTGATCAGACATACAGTACTGTTTAAAACCATATCAATTAATTGTGTGGAGATGGTCATGTGAGATTTTAACATTATTCTTGAAGATGCCATTATATAACTACATACAACATGAAAAGTCCTGTTGAAATGTTATGTTGTGGTTGTGTAAAAATATTAAAGTGTTGCTGGGGGAATCATTAAAACATATCTTATTATGACAGATGGCACATGTATGTACACTAAAATGCAATACAAGCGGACACAGATTAATTGTACAAAATACATCACTGGCAAAAAAAAAACACCACTGGTCATGTGGACTCACTGTTGCATATTGATGATCATCCCACCCCACAAAACAAAGCACTGACACACCTATCAACACAGACAGTAGGAAATGCTGCAGTTGATAGGGCAGTGTAACATCATCACACACACACCTCAAACAGAATGCTGGAAGAACCTGCACAAAAACATAGCATATGCTTACGAGAAACAAAACCCCTATATACTACTGTAAATAGATGTACAACTGTATTGAAAATGTAGCAATTGTTTCCACTTTCATACTTGTAATCAATAAATATAATGTAGCATATAATGTAAAAACGTACATTTGTTCAATTGTAAAAAAATAAATAATAATAATAATAATAAAGAATGAGTTACTTTATCTGTTGCAATTGGTCTACACACACATTACTGTACGATTCTACCAATCAATTACAAGCCCTCAAGACAAAGGCACTGTCTCACAATTGTCGTATCATATTTGTGCAATATTCCCTTTATGCAGTACATACAGTTGTTGTATTTATGCCTTTTTCTACATACATTGTATTTATGTACAGGTTTGAACAACTCAGTTTGATCATTGTTTGGACATTGTCTGAAATACTTTGCTGCTATCTCAAACTACTACTACTAATGTTGTTGTTAATTAAATTACAATTACAATTTCAGTATTCATGACCATATCTAATATTACTACTATTGTGGTTGTTACATACTTGTTTTTATTTACTAAAAGATATGAAGTTTGTACTTTGATGAGTCAATCCCTCTGTACTTGTATTCTGGCACTTGAATGTCTCCTGGTTGATGTTGTTGTTTTACTGGTTAGCACCAACCTGTACATTTCCAGTTCCACCCTGTGGAAAAGTCTCCAAAATGTTGAGGTGACATTGCACCATTATTACTAAGTCACTGATTCACTTTTTACTACTTCAACAGTCTGTTTTAATGGTCCAGGTTATTATCACCCATTTGACTATAGTTTAAAACAAACAAACAGTGATGAAGACCATGTTGAGGGGGAGAAGGGAACTGCAATGCATGCAGGGATTCCTTACATTGAAAACATGTCAGAGTTAGGGTTCTATCCCAAATCCATTGAAAAGTGTGCCCAATTGTATTTCAGATATACCAAGTTATCATATTTTTTAATTCATCACAACAATTGATAACTTATGCATAATTTACTAACTAGTTTACAGAAGCTGTCAGCTTTGCGTGTCAACTAAACAGTGGCCAGTATATGAGTGCCATACTATATTGATATGGTAAGATACGGTGTACTTTGGAAATCACTGTAGTGCTATATTCGCATTGATATCGTCATTAAATAAATTTTATATAATGAACAGGATTTTTGCATGTCTTTATGTTTCATGTCATGACATACAGAAGCTTACTAACAAAATATCTTTGCTTTGCATTATATCTTCACATTTCTTATGTTTTAGGTTTCATATCTGCTATCATTGGTAAGATAAGTAGTGGTGAATGTAGAAGATTGTCTCTGGTTAAAACCATTGCAGACAGTCAGAATGCCCTCTTAACAGGATTCTGCTGCAAGGCTATGAACCCAGTGACACCGCCCAGACACACACGTGTTGTAATATCTTAGATCTCCAAGTGAGGGCACCATTCTCATCAACTGTACTGGTTACCAGTCTCTGAGATTCATCAATGCAGTATACTGTATGTACACACACACACACACACGTATGTACGCTCTCACGCACATACATGCACACATTGACATGCGGATGGATGCCAGTGGCAGAATAGGCCACGTCATATGGCACCAGGAGTACTGCAGAGTAATCCATCAGCCTTTAGACTTGACCCTGCATTGCCATTAGACTGACTGGGAGACCAGACACCACTGCCAAGCAATGCAGGGATCAATTTAGCTAAGGCAAAAGATCTGGACAGGCTTTATACTGACTCTGCGTATTATCAGATCACCCTGCTTTTCCCTAAATTGGCTAGCCTCTTCTACAGTAAGCTACATTATCATAGACATCCAGTTGCCAGTTGTGCAAATAAGCATCATATTGATATTGTGTGAGTCAGCTCCATATGTCCCTCCTTCCTCCTCCTTCCTTCCCTCATGACAGCCAGGTTTAGAGGACTGCAGGGGAATTAACCGCAACATAATAAATACATCCTTAGAGGAATCTGCATTTTTCAACAGTGTGGGTTTCAGGAAGGGGATGTTGATGGTGGAGACATTTCATTCAGATGGATGTGACTATGAGCTATGTTCAAGAGCCTCATCTATGAGCAGTACCACCAAAAATGTGATATCTATCTGTGGCACCACTGTCTTCAGACACATGCACAGGCTGCAGGAGGAATCTCCAGTGCTAATATAATTAGCTGGAATGCTTGTCACTCAAGTCCTTGCTCTGACGTTAACTGAGAAACACAGGTTACAGGGGCCATATGATTGGTTAGAGAGGGATGGGTAGGGGGGTGAGGCTTGAGTGACGGTGAGCGAGGGAGAGACTGGTAGCGAGTGAGAGAGAGAGAGAGAGAGAGATGAAGAGAGAGCACTTTACTGCAGTATCACTTCATCTCTGCATCACTCATCAAAACTGCGGAATGCGGACTAGAAGTTGTGGTAGGGCAGATGCTGGGTTTGTACTGAGTGTAGTGTCAACACCACCGTCGTTTATTATACATTAACTGTAATTAGAAACCGTAGCACGGAGCTGCCGGATTTTCATCCTTTTCTTTCAAAGCAGCTCTTCATTTGTGTGCTCGAAAGCGTCTTTCTGCTTTCTATCTGAGGAATTGGCACCCGTTTGTTTCCAGAGCAACCCTGTAACAGGTTTTGCAGTGTAGGCCAACCTCACAGCTAGATATTTCACATATCACCCTAACGACCTACTACATTAGGCTATAAAGCCAGGTAACAGTCCGTGGAGTACAAAAATCTAGCAAAATGGCAAAGGATGCTGAGAAGAGCACTTGGAAGGACTTCATATGGAACCCTAGGACGCGGGAATTTTGTGGCAGGACAGCGAGCAGCTGGGGTGAGTCTAGTCGTTTACCTAGTGATGGTCGCCTGCAGCAATGCAGCACATATGCCCCTCTACCTCTAACACCACGGAGGAAGACAGGTTTGTGTCATCAATGACGTGGGGCCCATTGTTTAGTTTAGTTTAGCAACAACCACGAAGGGTAAAGAAAGCTTCAGAACGTCGGAAAACCCATTCAGTTA